GCATAAATATCCCAACAACAGAATTCTTTATTTCAAAACTCTCAACAACAAACTCTGCAACAAATATCTCAGCAACAATAATTTTAACAAAAATCTCACTAAATATCTCAACAACTAATACTTCCACAACAAAAATCTTAACAATCTCTGAAACAAATATCTTGGCAACAAATATTCCAGCAACAATAATCTCAACAACAATTCAACTAAAATCTCAACAACAAAAATAAGCAACACAAGTCCCGTCAAAAATCTTAATCATCAATATCTCAGCAACAATAATTTCAACAACAAAATTTGTAATAAATATCTCTGCAACAAATATTTCAACATTTTAGTTCTATTTACCTTCATTAAGGTCTTAAATACCTTAATAACGAATTCATTGGCAAAATATCCTTGCGTCAAATATCTCTTGGGAGCACAAATCTCAACAACAAACTAAAACAAATATCTCTGCAACAATAATTTTAACCACCGTCTCTAAAACAAATATCTTTTGTGACAAATGTTTCATTAAAATAATCTCAGCAACAAAAAAAAAACTCAACAAATATCCCAACAGCAAAACATCTGGATGTTAAAGATGGCTTTTACCTCCAGTCAGGAAGGATGTGCCCAACCAGGAAGAAGGCTGCATCATCGACAACCTGCTGGCTGAGATCAGGAAGGGCTACAGCCTGAAGAAGACCAGACCACGAGCTGAGAGGGGCAGCAGAGTCCACGGTGAGGACTGAGCTAGACTTCTTTAGTGCAGTTCTGACTTTTGACTCTCCTCAGTGCATCGGTCTGACTGTGTTGTCGTTGTCAGGTCATCCCGTGATCATTCGGAAGTCGCTGGCCGTGGACGAGCCTGATTCTACTGCTTCCAGCCAATCACAGAAGCCCCCCGACCTTCTAGAGACGGTCCAGGTCCCCACTGATCCACAAACCAAAACAAGAGCAGAGCCAGGGTCAGCTGAGCCTGACAGAGATCCCCCAGACTCTGGTCCTGCAGGAGAGGAAGAAGTCCGGCTCCAACCAGAGGATCTAGGAGAAAACAAAGATTCGAAAAAAGTAACAAAGAACCAGGAGTCAGAGTTTGAGGCGATCACCTTGTTAGAAGACGGAGCAGCGAAACGCGATGATGCAGATTGTAGTCCAGACAGCAGGTCAAACACGTCCAGAGTCAGTTCAGCAGGTACAGTAACATCTGAGTGGAGCGGACTGAGGTGAAACTAGTGAATCATCAGGAGGCTTGTTTGTAGACTTCAGGACAAAAAAAAAAAAAAAAAAAGGTTTTAATTATTTTACCCGAGTTTCTAGGTTAATGCCGGTTGAGTTATTAAGGCTCGTGTCGCCCACATTTTAGTCCTGAGTATCAGTTTCAGGCTCGCATCTAACTTGTCATGTTTTTCCTGAAATCTTAAACATTTTTATGCAAACTGTCAGACTGGACAGGAAGGAGTCTCCTGTAAATGCCTGTGTTTGTTTGATTTTTACACAAACACATCAGGAAGGCGTTCAGGTCAAGGCTGTGATGATTCTGCAGCACGAGGAATGTATTGACGATGTACTTTCTGCCTACAAACCGACCAATCAGAGCGTCTCTTTAATCTCCAGGAGCCGGTGTTCGTGTCGGAAGAAAACAGTCTCAAACCAAGAAAGGATGTGCTTTACACTGAGGTGAGTAAATATACTGAAAATCCAAAACCATCCAGTGCTGAAACTTATTTTATAAACGAACCAGAGAGGAAGGAACACAGAAATATGAATAATATATATGTTTTAAGTGCACTTTAAATGGTTGAACCAGAATTAGAACATTTCAGGACTTTGGTGAATGGAATCAGGTAGCTGCAATGATACAGTAATAAAGTGAAGCAAACTTCTCAACTACGCGCTGATCCCGTTTCTTTTTCTGTGGTTCCAGGTGAACTGTGGATGACTGGTCTCCACGGCAACAGGAAGTTGAAAGCAATAAAATGTGACCTGACCACAAGCATGAAAAAAGATTTTTCTGTTGAAAGAGATAAAAAAGTGAAGAAGTGTGACAAAGCAGCTGATTGGTCGTAAATGACTTCAGCTTTCCTGAGCAGACAGGTGAGGTGGGCGGAGCTTTACTTATCCATAGAATTATTTTTTGTTGTTTGTTTTTTGTTGGAAACAGATTCTTAGTTTTGTGCAGCATATTGTGATCTGCGTGACATATTTCAGTTGTGTGTCCTGATAAAGCTGCTGGTTTTAGTCTGATCTGGACCTTCTGCTCAGATCTTGTTGATTTACGAAAGGTTTTATCTTTGACGTGCCTTAAACAGACCTGAAAATGAATCTGCAGCTTTTCTGATGATCAGTTATTCATTGTTGCTGCGTTGTGGGGATACCCTGTGACTTTTATTTAATGGTTTTAGATTGTTGATAAAACAGTAAAAGAGGTTTGAGAATGTCTGCTTTAGGAAACTGGAACAGACTTTTTCATCAGTTTTAATTCACTTTGCTTGAATCCAGTCTGATCTGGAGTCAGACTTTCACTTTTTCTCAGATGCGACAGAAAAACAGATGGTTTCAGTGAGTCGATGGTAGTTCCACTGATAGTTTCAGTTTCTCACATGTTTGATGCCTTTTTTTGTCACATGAAGGCACAAAGAAGTTCTGTCAGAAGACTTTTACTGTTTTTTCACTTTTGATTGATTCCACGGTCAACAGCTTCAGCCTGATCGCCTTCATCGCTTTAAAAACTCTGTTCAGACACGTTCACGGAGCACAAACTGGTCTGAGAGCAGGATTCATTTCCTGAAAATGCTCCTCCTCCTCAGACGTAGATTCACTGTCTGTACTTTGTTGGAAGGATGTTTCTGAGCTCAAATTTTTCAGGCCAGGTCTTGTTTTGTATCAGTTGGAGGAGCTTTTACTTGTTATTTGTTTGTTCTGGATTCATACTTAAAACAGAAAATGTCTCCACAGAAAGTTGCTAAATGTTACTGTCTTGTTCACCTGGAAAAATAAATGCTGCAGCTTTTTGATGAATCCTGTGCTTAACCCATGTTTTTAACCCACAGCACCTGTTGAAGGGATTCGTTTTCACAGTCGTCCCCACCACAAACTTTCTGTGAATTATACTTTCCATAATAAGAGTCAACACTGTGTCCACTGTGAAGCACCAGACAGATTCAGAGTTCACTCTGTGTGACAGCTGAACCTAAAGCAGGATTTAAAATATCTATCATGTGACTGAGGTTAATGCCGCCTTGTTTTACCGTACAGTCAAACACACACTTTATCTTAATTTTTGACTTCATATTTCACACCCCGAGAACCACCTGTTCGGCTCACCAACGGAAAATGAATCAGATATTCAACCAGTCATTCAGCTGTTCTCCTAATTGATCGACCTTTTTAGTTTTGTTTTTTTGTTTTTTTTTGCAAAAATTTAAAACATTCAGTTTTTAACTTATCAGAACCTAGGATAGTGTGATTTATCAGAAAAATCTGAATGCATTTGGGCTTTGCTCTGTAGGACATATTTAATCTGGCACAGATGATAGAAACATTCATTAAAACTTTACGTTTATTGCGTTGTTTCCCACAATGTTCAGACTGGAAACAACCAGCAGTGCTCGGAGCAGCTGTAAAAACACATTTCACGAAAATAGAAACAAAAATTTACTAAATTATCATTTAGTGAAATAAGACATTGCTTTTGAATTGTGGTTAAAAAGAATAATTAAAAACAAACAAACAAACAAAATTGTCCTGGAATAATTAGAGCACTTTGCTGATGAGCAGTGAAATCAAAATACCTGTCAACAGGTACAGAAGTCTGATTGAGCGTTACAGAAAACACCTGATGGCAGTGATTGGCTAAAAGGGTTGTTCAGCTAAATAGTAGTTTATGGGTCCCATCATGCTTGTTTTTTTTTTGTTTGTTTGTTTTTTTTGGTAATATTTCTGTTGAACCACAATTGAAAAGCAATGTCATGATTTTCATACAATTTTTGAATTATTATTACTTTAGTGAATTTCAACTTATTTCAGTGACTGAAGCTGTTTTTTTCCTTCATTTATGGGAGGCAGTGTTTCCTCGACATTAATTTTGGAGCGGCGGGCCGCCATTCCTAAATCCTAGCTGCTGCTCCTCCAATTTCCTTTTTTTTCTCCTTTATTGTTGCAAATACACCACCGCCACATGTCTCCACCTTCACAGCAGAGTCCTGCACTGGGTCAGTGGTCGGGAGTACAAAGGTAAAGTACAGATAACTATCTTGTTCAGTAGCTACTCTTTGGGAGGTTAATGCGACGTTAAGTACTCATGACTCCTAAGGTAAAGTGCAGATAACTATCTT